TTTGACAGTTGTACTTCTCATTTTGTAGTTGTGTTATTTCTTTGAACAATGTTGAGCAATGTACTTAGCTTTTCTACAATATAAATATAATCTTTTTTGATGATGACAAGTCTTTTCTTGTTTAGTAAGAGATTTAAAATGTACCATATCAATTTGTATGTCTTTTACTTTCAATTGTTTAGATTGAGAAGTCATTGGTATTGTCATTGAATTGTAATAACGTGGAGATTTTCTTGTGTAATTCTTAGATTGAAATTCAAAAAGTCAATTGTCACACTTCACAGTAAAGTCAATTACTTGACTCAATGTTTGAGGATCATGTAAGTTGAGCATTAATTTCTTTACTAAATATTATAATCCATAGAAAAAATGGCTAATAAGGGCAACATCATCCCACTTGACATCAATTATTAGTTGTCAAAATTATAAAGTATATGATGTCACTAATTGATTGCATTGTTATAAGATATGGATCTTATTATTTGCAACACAAATTGCATCAGATTTTTTTTTGGCAAAAATAAAGAAGGTTTTACTCTTGCTTCTATATATATTATCTACCTAGGATCTATGTAGTAATGTTCTACATGACCTTTAAAACCGTGTTGACTTTGTATGACACATATTTGGACTTGCAAGGCAAGTTTTCTATATAGATGCCACATAATTAGCTTGTTCTACAAGCTATCAATACATGTGGCATATAGATAGCTTGTTGATCAAGTTTTTAACCTATAAATCAACTACAAATATATATAAAGTCAAAAAAACGTCTAAGAAGCTTCTAAAAAGCTTTTGTAAAAGGTATTATGAAATTAATCTACTTTTACTTAATTCTACCTATTTATATTATCTAGATAATAACTATAGTAGATATACATCTGTGACACATGCTCAATCTCCTGATCTTAATTCCATCGAACATCTTTGAGAGTACCTCAAATACCAACTCAACACTTAGAAGATAAAACCAATGAAGTTAGGAAATTATAGAAAAGAATAGCTACAGAATAGAATAATATTAAAGTAATTTTGAGCCAAAAGTTAATAGAAAGTATGCCTAAGAAGTTCGAAGCAATTATCAATGCCAAAGAAGGTCCTACAAAGTACTGATATGTAATTGGATACCACATTCAAAAAAAAAAATTAATACTATTTTAAATTAAATATGTCATAGTTCCACAATTACTTGATAGATTCTTTTTAACTTGAGATTATTTGGTAGCTATAAAAGAGTACTTTATTTTTTATACAATCCACGTGTCATTATTCACTACAATTCATTTATAATACACCATTCTTTCCAAAATATGTCAACATTGAAGTAGTTTTTTGAGTCATTGTATATCTAATTTCAATGAATTATTGAGATTATAACTAAAATATAACAAGCTCTATTATTATGACACCTTATTTGAGTCTTTAAGAATAGAGCTTACAAATTCATGTATTCCTAATCTGATCTTCAAAATTGATAAGCTACTCAAGGTATAATATAAATATCTATTATAGAGGTAGTATTATTTAATGCATTTGTAGAAGATTGTTGGACTAGTTCAGTTACTTGTGGCCTAAATAAGACTCTAGGCTAAAGGATGAGATAACACCTTCTCCAATACCTTATGAAAGATAGTGCTTTCTTTTACAAAAGGACAAATTTAGATAAGATTTATATTTTACATGTTTCTAAAGTTTTAAATCTTGCTCAAATCTTAAAATTGTTTCATGTAGCAAAGATGTTAAAGCACTTTATTATCAATTATTTTATTTCAATTATAATTATCTAAAATTAGATATATTATTCATTGGTAGTTCCAAAATCCAACTACATATGATTTTATAAGCCAAAAAGTTCATATCTAAGCTACTTTGAAGCTTCAATTGGAAGAAGCTCACATATGCTCCAAAAAGTCAGTCGATGCATTAAAGAAAAAAACAACCTTTATTTCAAGTTAGCAACAAAGCATAATAAAAAGACTATTTTTCAATATGAAAAGTTGAACTACCAAAGATCACTACCATTTCTTATTCAAAAAAAAAAAAAAAAAAAAAAACTATTACATATTGATTGAAATTACCAACATCTATGAAGATACATCCTATTTTTTACACCTTTTTTTTAGAATCTTATGAAAAATTAAGCATATTAAGAAGAATATAACTACCATTGCCTTGTATTATAGTTGATAACTACAAAGAATTTAACATAGAAGTACTTAATTTAAGACTAAAATAAGAAAAATCATATTATTTTGTATATTGGCATGATAATATCATTAGTAAGTATACATAGGAGTCAACTTCAAATTTAGTGAATGTGCCACAAAAGGTATAAGAATTTCATCAATAATAATCTTCTAGACCTAAAATAACAACAAGTATTAGATAATACTTCTTTTTAGTATATCCAAATATGATGTCTTTTAGACTTCACAATTTTTTTTTATTGAAGGGGAAGTAATAGTTCCAATATATTTTAAAAATTCAATTATTATGTAAATTTATAAACTATAAAGTAGTCCTATTCTATCTTAAAATTGCAATATGTCTATGGTTTAATTGACATAATTAAATATGGATAGTCAAAAAGACAATATTATGTTAATTGAGCCATCTCAAGCAAGCATTTCATGTTGTCAACTTCAAGAAGAAGTATGGCCTTAATCGAGAAGATACCAAAGAATACTTAATGGCTTCTTTGTGGCAATCATCATTAACGTAGAACCAAGACATGAAGGACAACCCAAAATAGATTTTGAAAGACAAAATTGCAACATAAACACATAAAATTTAAAATTGGTGAATAATAAAAGTGTAGGTTACTATTGTTGGTTGTAAAGATTGATGACTCTTTGATGGTGAATCATGTAGACACATTCACCAATAGGGAATTGAGTGAGAGTTATGCATTATGTATTGTGAATGGGTGGTTTGGAGGTGTTAGGTTTGTGAACAAGTTTGGAATGGACACCACCTTAGAGGCTTGGAAGCCTGTCGGGTTTCATTCAGAGTCAAGGACTCCGTTCTATGACGTGAGCATCGGTGAGCCAAAGTGGGGTGAGGTTGTGATGGTCCAGGGAATAGGGTGGGTTCCAAGGGCACTTTTTCCATCTGCGGGAGTTACTGCGGGCTTTGGTTCTCGTCGGGGAGAATCGCAGATCTGGAAAAGGGGAAATTGATCCAATAGGTGGATTCGGGTGCCGGGATTCGAACCCGGGTAGCTCGGGTGAGAGCCGAATATCCTAACCGTGAAATCCCCACCGGGGTTAAAAACAAGCACCGAAGTGCATAACACAAGTGCCTTGGCACGTATAGTCCTACTATTGGTAGTTGTCGGCATGTGCCATTCCTGGGATTTGGATCCGTTGCATGCCTATTCTTATATCTTTAAGTCAAGATTGATAAACTGGTACTAATTGAAAACGGTCTCACCCTAGATTTTAATAGTACCCTTACGCTGTAGATATTTGTGTTATCATCTTTGGTGTCTTGGTCCTAGGTCGAAGTACTGACGTCAGTCTGCCATCCATCTTTGAAAGTTGTCGCCATGCAAGTGCTGACATGTGGCTGCATAAATTTCTAGGGCAGTAATGCTGCCTCGGAACGATGGGTTTCGTCGGGCTGAGTCTACTAGGTGGATGAGATCTTCTGGTCCATATGGCACTGCATCATACCATCTCTGTCTAGCTTCGTTAATTCTTTGTTGGCGTTGAGTCGTTCGGGGTGAGTCTGGAGGTTGATCGAGTCGTTAGTATTCCATATTTGTTAGTATCTCTTCGACCTCTCTTTCCATTTCTTCTTCGTTAAGTTGGGTCTGATGTAGGTTATTGTCAATTGTGTTGACTGTAGATTACTGGCCATCTCCATCGGAATTGCTTCGAGTGCCTCTGCTTGTTCGAGGATGTCCTCGATTCGAGAGGAGGAGGGTGTTTGTGTCGGAGTAGAGAACCTGATCTGTTGTTCGTGTATGCCTCTGTCAACCTCACCAAAAAGATCATCTATAGCCAAGGATAACTCTCTGCTAGAGTTCGAGCTTGCTGTCTCATCCGATGAGATCGTTTGCCTTGGCCTTAATGGCATTTGAAGGACAGCTTGTGCTAGGTCGTGTGGAAGAAAGGCGGATGGTGGAAGCCATTTCCAATACGGTGGATTTCCAGTACGGTGTATTACCAGGGGTGGCAAAAACTCCTTGCTGAGTCCAGACCGTGTTGAAAAGGGTTGTTAGCTCGGTGATCTTGTCTTGGCTGCGTTTATGTCTGAAAATCCTACGCCATACCTCTGCACCGACATGGATTACTGTTTTCCACCAGTAGAACAAAACTTTGCCGAGCGAAAACGGATGGCCGTTCAGTTCCTCTTCACACTTTTGAACCCAAATATTCCAGTTAAGACTAGCTCGGAGTATATCCCATGGTGTATTATCGTTAATTTGTATCTTAGCTCCTGCGTCCCATGAAGAGCCGAATATTCTAACCATATAGACTAGAACGGATGAGGACAACTTCCCAATCCACTGCCGCCACAGATTTCATAAATTTATGCGTCACAGTAGTACTCCCACCAATCGACCGTGCCCTTCGAGTGAAACATCACCCTCAAACGTTTTCAAATAATTAGAGTTGTTTGAGAGTCGTGGAACATGAATGGAGTATGAAACTAGAATTTCTGAACACGAAAAGTTTATGTGATTCCCAACTAATAATATTTCTCGTTAACATAAATCTATCTGTTTGTTAATAAGGAGGAAACCTGTAAACAACATAGAATACAGTGATTCTATTAGCTAAAACACTGAAACCAGACGAATTAATGGGACAAAATTTCCTGTCAAATCAAAACAGCTTCAGCAACATCCAATCTGAATAACAAAAAGATGGTTTACAATCAAATTAAAAGATAATATTCCCATGAGCCTCTTATGATTAAATTGTTGACAAATTTAATACACAAAACAAATTAGAATTAAGTTTATTCAATGAACCTAATGATAACAGCCACAGTACACACCCAATAAAGTATCATTACAAAACTCAAACTACAGAAAAGTACATGCTGTAGAAAATTACTAAAATCAAAACGCCCAAGGAATCCATACTCGACGGTGTCATCACATAATCCTACGCAGCAAAAAATGCTGTAATACTTCCAAAAAAATCAACACAACGACCGCTACATAACTATCACTTCGACGAAGAAGATACATTGGCAATAAAGCGAGGGGAACCCTCCAAATGAAGATAATAAAACTTGGAAATTCATCCAGGCTCAAGAACGAATTACTTCCTATTTATACTCCACTCCAAAAGAACGCATTAAATCCTACCTCTACAAGCATCTGCACTACCACGCTACCACCCACCTCACGACTCGCTTCGCTCATTTCACCGCGCTCCGCCGCCCTCACCACTCATTGCACCGGATTCCCCACATCTATGCGACTTCCCCTGATCGCTTCCCTCAGCATCCGACCTCCATGCCGATCCCTCTCCTGACCTCTTGTCAATCACAACATGACCTTGCAAGTTGTGCCCCAACCCATACGCTTTTGGTGCGCCAAAAACTCTAAAATCCGCAGGACCGACACCTCCATTCCCCTCCGCACACCCCCTCCTGCCTCCCTCCTCCACCACCGACTTGCCGTTCCCACCATCCACACCCACCTGCCTCCCACACGCTGCGTTCGACATCGACCCGCTCGCCAATGCCCTCCTCGCCTCCGCCTGATGGAACGCCTCGCACGACGAATCCGTCCGCTGAGACCCAGGTGACACCGATCGCCCTGCTTCCCCATACGACGCCCCCTTCCCCCTCCGCCTGTTCCGAAGCCTCGACATCGCTTGCTCGTGCCTCCTGTGCATTTCCCGCAACTCCGCCCTCTGCTTCTGCGCTAGATGCTCCAGCTTCCGTGAAATCGCCTCCTCATCGTCTTCCTCATCCTCCCCTGAAAGCGCCAACTCCTCCTCAACGCTACTGTCCCCTCTCTCCTCGTTCTGATGCAGCACGTCCCACGGCTCGTGAGAGTACGCAGCAGTCCCCGCATTCCTCCGCCTCTCTACCAACTCGTTGAACCCCCCGCTCCAATCCCTCCCACCACCATGCTTCGAGCACGACGCACCCGATCCTCTCTCCGGCGACCCATCGTACTTCGACCCCTGATCCCCCGACTCGTCCCGTTCGTCCGACGACTCGCTCGTGAAGATCGGCTCTGAACCACGTCGAGAACTGCTCGCGCGCGCCGGATACGTTACTTCCTCGAATCGCCCGTGCATTGTGCCCTCCACCATCCTTGGAGGGGACGTCCCGCCCACCGAACACAACCTGCAACCACACGATCCGACATCCATCAACCCACCTTATACCTCATGCCGCACCCACACACACACCACAGTAACCGCCCCTCCATCTATTCCACCGCTCCAACTCAAAATACCACAACGCCCTCATACCACATTCAAGCAACCTCATCGCACACCGTCGTGCACTCCGCCTCCACTGTCCCTCCACAATCTCCCCCCGCGGTCGCCACCACAACTACATCCCAACCGTGCCCACGTAACCATCATCACCACACACCTTGGAGACACGGCTCGCCCCTTCCAACTCGAACTCGGCGGATCTTCCACCACAGAATCGCCTGATCCCACCTCGTCTGACCCATCCACAACTGTCGGGTACGCACTGTCTGCCTCCACACCGCCCTCATCCACGGCGACTCCAGGTCGCCATTCCGGAACCAGCGCCAAGATCTCTGCGTCGATCATCTCCGCTATCGTCGTCACATCCTGGTTCGACAGGTCCAGCTCCTCCACCATCTCGCTCGCAACGCACATTGCCGTGTCGCCCTCTATGTCGAAAGGGAAGTGGATGTTGCGGCTGTGACCTGCACAATGCGCTTCCCACATTCTCTTCACAAAGACTCGTCACGACAAACCACCTGCCTCGCCAAAACTCCCCACGCTAACTCTACTCCATACCCCGCCACTTTCTACTCTATACACGCTCGTCTCGCTATGCCGTCCACCCAAATCTCACTGCTACCACCAACCCTCCGTCATCCCAATCTCATCCCTTCCAACGCCAAGCCCACCCACCGTCATGATCAGCAATTCGCACTCTCAAGAATATTGTGACGTCGTCTTTCCGCTTCCCCTTCACTCGGAAATCGCGGCTGCTCCTCCTCACACGGTCTTTACCATACCGGGTGCTCCCCGAAGGATCGTCTTCCTCGTCCGAACGCCTTCCCGATGACGCTGCTGCCAACCTTCCAGAGCCGCGCCCCTCCGACCTCTCGTCGTCGCCGGATCCACCACCTCTTCTCTCCTGTCCGTAACCCCGTTCGTTGTCCGCCTCATACATACTGTTCAACTCCCCGCCCTTCTGCTTCGACGCGCTGTCCTCGCAAATCACCCCAAGCTCCTCGAAGTCATCCGCCCGCGTCTTTGACAGAGTAATTGTCGGCAGAGCCTCCACCGCTTCACGATCCCCCTCGCACTGCAGAAACGGGTCCACCAGAAGATCCCTTGCGGGAAGCCTCTTAGATGCCTTGGCCAGACATTTCTCCACAAAAGCCCGCACTTCCGGGTCCTTCACTTTATCCAGCGCTGCGGGTTTCTTCCCCTGCGCACACATGCGTACCAACACACCCCACACCATCAACCTTGCCACCCACCATCGTTTCTCGATAACCCCTCCTTCCCCAACAAACCTCGCACCGCCAACTCCTATCCTCCCCTTACCGACCTCCACTTCACTCTCTACGCGATGCTGTCATAACCACGGACTGCAGTCTTTCTCCCATACCCGCCCCTCCAAGTTGTGAACACCAAAACTCGCGTGCTCTCCAACACGCCGGAACCTATTTCCTATCCACGCCACCCTACCCAACTCAAACAACTGCTTTTCCAGCTCGTCTTTCGAAACGCCCACCACACAACCACAACTTTCTCATCGTCGCACACCAACCCCAAACCATACACCCCTCCGCTGCGCTATCAGCTTAGCGCACCACTTTACACACCAACCGCACTGCCTTCGTTACCCGTTTCATGCCGTCCTTTCTATTCACCCCACGATCCCCGCTCTGCGCCCGCAACCATTGCAATGATCCCCCCCCGAAACAACAAACAAGTCCACCCCTTACCGATGACACTTTCTTGTAGATCTGCGCGGCGTTTGTGCATTCGCTGTACGGGTACTCGAACGTCACCATCTCCAGCAGGCACATCCCAAACGAGTATATATCCACCAGCTCATTGTATTCCTCTTCGTACAGCTCAGGAGCCATGAACTCTGGTGTCCCTGCCAAACGACCGCCCCCCTCCGGCTAAGCTTCCAATGCCACCTCCACAACAATCCACATCAACGCCAAATAATACCCCTCGCCCGTCGCTCCTCACTTTCACAACAGCTTCTCCCAGTTCTTTCAAACTCCCACACGTACGCCACGACCACGCTTTACCGAGCACCATCGCCCCCACCAGCAACTTCAACCCCACAAAACACTCCAACATTCACCCATCACTGTGGCTACACTACAGCCCAAACCCTCACAATCAGCCTACTCACCGATCACGCTGTGCGCTGCATGTGCCTGCCGAAGGATCGCTGCGAGACCCAGATCCCCGATCTTCACCTCTCCCTGATTGCCGTTCACAAATATGTTGTCGCACTTCAGATCGCGATGTATGATCGGCGGATCGTGGCTATGCAGGTACAGCAGACCCCGCAATATCTGCCGTGACCAATTCTTCACCGCCTTGATGTCCACGTGCTTGTGCTTCTTCCGGTATCTGCCGCCAACACCCACTTTCAGTACTCACCAACCACATCCACATTCATGCACCATCCCAATCCCAACCCCCTCCCCTGCTCTCCAACTCACCGCTCCCGTCAAACATCCAATCGCTCCACGTTCCTACGACCTACGCTACAATGCCAACACTAACACCCAACCCATTCAACCCCGCCACGTACTGCCTCAAATTGCCGGAAGTGAAAATCTCTGTGATGAAATTCACGTTCTTCGTCTTCGTGTCCACCCACGAATTGTAGAACTTTATTATGTTCCTGTGCTTCAGTGTCTTCAGCAGATGTACCTCCGAGTACAGCCGCTCCAAGTCCTCGGGGCTCTGCAGAACATCTTGCACTTTCACCTGGTTCCAAGCTACCTCGATACCCTCCACCTCGTCAAATGCCCGGTATCTGTACGACACCACACAAAGTCGACAACAGCGACATCGTCAAAACCTACCCATCCAAACATTTCCCACCACCTACATGCTACTTACTGGTTGCCTTCAAGCACAGTGATGCCTGCCAACTTCATGCTCGCAAACAACAAGACACGCTCTATCCTTCAATCAACAACACCATCCTCGAACCAGCTCGATTCAGAAGACTGGACTTACACTGTCTTGAAGGCCCCTTTACCCAATACTTCCGCATACTGTCACAGAAAACAGAAGATTAGTGTGATTATGAATATTCAGGATGTGATTGCAAATGGTTTTTTTTTCGTTACTACTTGTAATTGTATAGAAACAACTGCTTGACTCTGCGTTTGAAAATCTGCAATTGTAAGACTCATCTACTATTTAAACAGTTCCACAAGTTCTGTCATCAAGGACTGACGTGCTCCTTTTCGAAATCCACTGTTATTAGTGAATGAAGAAATTAAATTGATGTAGGAAGGGGTACCCGTCCATAGCGACGGGTTGGATCTACTTCAACAAATCCGGGGTCGTCCTCATCAGCATCGTCGGGAGGGTCTCTAGTAGTCATTTTGTCACCCTCAGATTTGTTGTTTTGTCTATCTGGCATTTCATCCGATCACATGGAGATGGGATAAATTGTCTCGAGCTCATATAGAAACACTGCAAAACTGTCAAAGTCACATTAAAAACTTTGAAATACGCTGAATCAATTTATAACAAAAACATGGCTCTGCAACGAGCTTGCTGCGTTAGAAACTAGTTGTTGTCAACACGGAACTGTAACCGAGAATAGTGGTCATCGAAGAATTTACAGAGAAACGATATACAATGGTCTCTACACCTAATGACTCCCAATAATGAACACACACAGTGCACAATAGGGCTGGATTTCTGGTACAGAATCTATACTTCAAACATCGTATTTGGGAGCGGATGTAAAATTGAAGTGCTCATTTATTGACACGAATGGACATACCCCAAAATTCAACAGATTTACAACAATAGCTCTAGAACTCGCATCAAACTTCTTCCACAAAACCCTAAACTATGAACTGCTGCAGCCTGTCAGGACAGGGGCAACAGCATAACACGTAATTAGTCGGAGCATTCACGTTCCCTCCTTTGCTCGTCTAGGCCATGAATTTTGCAGCCATATGATAATAACTATTGCATTGAATCAATACTGCTGGTGATCTACTGATGGCACAGCCAAATCTTTGCTGGAAATGTACCTCGAAAGCCTTGGACAGATGTTAATCTTATATCCCCTAAAAAATGGTATTCTTGAACATCAACCGGCGTTCCTAAATTTACAATGATGTGCAATAAATCACGGAAATAACGGGACTAAATAACCACTTGATACCCCCCAAAACTCTTGGGTTTTTCCCTTCGTAAAGCGCTCTGCACGATTTGAATGATTAATCGGCAATGTGGCGACTGCAATAGTCAGAGGCGAAAGGAGGACGCAGGAAGACCAAATCGCGACCTACATACCCATCACAGCCCAGTAAAACCTAGAAATCCGGACCACAACGGACCCTGGCTAATCGTACTCTGGAGCACCAACGCTGCGTGGAGAAGGCGCGAGCTCAATAATTTCTGCAATTGAGTTTCTGCGGCACTACCACGCACACACGCCCGCCCCGAGGGAATGCAGAAGCCACCACCTCCGATCCTTCCCTAAATCAGGAAAGAGCCAAAATAAATAAATAAACGAATAAATCTGCAACTTACGTTTCCCCTGCTCACGGAACTCCAAAGGATCACTCTCCCCAAGGCCTCGCGATACCTCACCCGGCTCACTCCGCCAAAACCTCGCAACTCTCATCGGCAACGAAGATCTCTCTAACCTCTCCCACGGGCACCAGAATCAAAGACAAAATCGTCTCAGAATCTATTTTCGAAAAGAAAGAAAGAAAGAAAAAAATAAATAAATAAATAATAATCGAATGAATAATCCGCCGCCTCCCACACTAACCTGAACTACACGGGTCTCGAGCAAAACGCAATACCTAGCATCAAACGCACTCCCAGAGCAGACCAGAGCAGATAGGCTTCGGCGCTTCCGTCGCTGTGCGCGAGTGCAAGCATGGACTAAGCACGATTGCGAAGGCAACGAGAAGAGGGAGAAGATCGCAAGGTCCTACTACACACAAAAATGCTGACTGGGACTGGCCCCGGGGCTTCGTCGTCCGAGCAGGACCCATGGTCTTCCTCCACCAGGGGTGGTTGGCACTGCCAGCTAGGATGACAGAATTAACATCGTTCATCGCTCTCCGTTTCCATTCATTCGAAAAGGATCTTCAAGTCCATAGAGCATCGTTGGTGTTGGCTCTGGAAGGATTGCTTCCCAGCATGGGCCACGCCCAAAAAACTTTTTTTTTTTGACACCTAAAATTCTTGGAGAGTTTGACACGTGGTCCAGTGTGAAAAATGTGAGTTAATTTTCTTATTCTTTATGCAACAAATTAGCTTGCCACTTGGCAAGCATGCATTCATTGAGTGAAAAAAACAAAAAAACCAAACCAAACCAAACCACACAATTTGTATTGTTGGTATTGTTCCAAACATAGTAACAATTCTTGTGTTTTAAACTCAAATATTTTTTCTCTAACGTTTTGATAAAGACAGAATCATTCAAGCATTCTTGACAGTGCAATTAAGTTACTTTTCACATGTAATATTTTTATATTCGTTTTACTATTATTAGAATGATAGTGTGTATATTTTGAAATTTCAACTAAGTGTACTGCTTCTGGTGGCTTATCAAATGTACAACTTAGACACATAAAAATCGCAATAAATTTATATTAAGTGAGAGGTTTTTAAATGTACTTTATTTTTGGAGATGTATTGTGCTCTTTGTTCAAATTAATTGATTACTCAGTAAAAGAACTCTCAGTAATTGGTTGTAAGAAGAAATTATAAATGTTGATTGTTAACGATAATAAAGTATGTAAAAGTTGCTAAGCCCTGAATTGTAAGCCACAAAACAAGCTACTTTTTAACGTTTTTTGTACATGTCACTCAGATCCATGGTTTCATATATTCTAGAACAAACTGCAATAATGTGCAGGAATTTTAAAACAATATAAACACATATATTCTCATACACATACACACACACACACACATATGAAATGTAAAAAAAAACTTAGAAAGAAAAAAAAAAAAAAAAAAAAAAAAAGACACATGCTTGATAAGTTTATAGATAAATAATTTGTATGGCACATTTTTTCTTCTTATTTTTTTAAATTTCTTCAAAGTCAGCAGATTTTCTTTAATTGAAAAACTGACAGGTTGCTAAGATTTTTATTTGAAAAAAGTTGGAAAGAGCTATCAGCCACAACAATTAATCGTTAATATTTCAAATTTTGAAATAGAAAAAGAAAAAGAATGAAATGACAAAGAAAGAATTAAGAACATTCAGAAAATATTTCTAAAAAAAGAAATAGAACAATGCTAAAAACATGGAATAAATCCACTGCAATAAAATCTAAAGCCATTACTATATATACACACACAGACACACATACATATAAATAACCAAAAAACTTTCAGGTGACAAATAGAAACAATTCTAATCACACCACCACATTTTGCTCCACAAATCATGCTAGCTCCATAATGCTATTTTCCATCTAATTATGAACAATGAAGTGGAAACAAAATCCTGCAAAAGAGAACCTTCTTGGCTTCCATAATGAATCTCAAATGAAATGCACTTGGGTACCTAAAGATTTAGGCTGAAGTCTGTAACTGATTTCTGTGCTTGCTTGCTTACTTGCTTGCGTTCAGTCTGTGAGAGCACAAGCATTCTGCAATGGAAAGTTGGGTTGTGCGGCACATGCACGTGCGTCACCGTTTGTCTAAGCTCCCGACGCTTTCCAGTGTGTGTTAAGAGACCTTCAGGTTCTGTATGTTTTGTTCTTATTGAAACTGAAGTAATGGCGCAGCACCTTGAAGGAAACAAAGCTTGAAGACGGGAGCGCTGTCAGCTTGCGATTCGATGGTAAGTTAAACCAGGGCCAACTTTGCTCACCTGAAGAACCATCTCAGCAGTTATAACCTCGAAAATCTCGTCTACAGAGTACGCAAATCAACATGAGACTTGAACTGAGTCCCGTTTCAGCAACAGATTTGTAACGAATCCCGAAGAGGAGAAGAAGAAGCAAGAGGGTAAAAAAAGTTGGTATGGATCGTGGAGATTGGAAGACTCGAAAAGATGTGGACAGCAGTTGGGATGCGAAACTATTAAACCCGTCTCCCACTTCCATTCTTGTGCGACGTTTAGTGGTGTGTGCATGCGGTGCCTACTGCTTGTAGCTTTTGCTAAGTTGGTCTAGGATCGGAATCCTTAACAATGCCCAATCAACGCAATCAGTAGTGAATGTGTTCGGAGACGATACAAACCACAATGGGGAAGGGTCATCTGTCCTGTTGACCCACTAGAATAATGGATTTCAGATGCGCTCCAATTCGGGAGAGCAATGCTCGTGACAGACATATGCCCAGGTGCGTCCACTTCCAACGAACCATTCTGTCTACGGTTACTAGGATCAATTACTACCTTAGGCATCGTGCAACAATTATAATAATAATACCACACACTATCAGCCACTAAGTTGGAAGGCCGATTTGAAGATCACCTTATCAATGCCACTGTACAATCCTCCCTTGTTGCGGTTGCTTCATACGCTTAATGCAAAACACATCCAGCCTTTTTTTGATGTTGATTATTTTGATGTGGATGTCTGAGAGATGGGCTTCCACGGCAGATGCCAGTTGTGCAAACGGCATCCAACAATCTGTGCACCAGGAAACCAGTTACTTTCGAATTCGGAACTCGTTTGAGTGGCATATCCTACAAATAAATTAAGGTTGATTGGAATGATGAATGAGTAGCTTCTGATCCTGTCGGTAGTCTTTGTATTCCTAGACTCTTGACGAGACTTAATTGCCCCGTGAGAGAAACTCGTTACTTTACCTGGTTTCAATGTGATTTGATAACATGACGACGCCACATTGCAGTTGTGGGATCAAAGCGAAGCTCCCATGTAGGCCAGTAGTGGAGATCCTGCTTCACTGTCAACACTCGAGGCTTCCCATTCAAGTACACGGTCTTGACGCGCACAAAAGCCCCATGCTCCAACTCCTGTGTCACATCCACGAAATCTTGGAGGCTTGGAGTGGGCTTACCATTGACCTCCACAATCCATTGAAGCGCGTAAAGACCATATCTGTGGACGGGGCTACCATGGCACCACCTTACTACATAGACTCCGTGACCCTGCTGAGGTAGAAATCCCAGCGCTCGGACTGCAGAGTGCGGCTCTTGCAAAACACATCCAGCCCAGTTGATCATTCTGGTCGTCCCAAACCCATCGCGGTCGTCAATCCCGACCTGTATGTTAATCTCACGTCCCTGTCTAAACAACGTGACATCCAAAGATCCTGGCGAAACAGTGCCGGAGATGTCTGACTTGGTTGCCTCGCAGGCAATCTCAACATCCCGGAAGCACGTCACAGGTTGCCCGCTGATTGCTAACAACATGTCACCCTGGTCTAGAACGCCGTGTGCTCGTGACCCCGCCAAACACCCCTTCACACGCAGCACCTGCCGTCGAATAGTGTCCTTGTCCGCCAATGCCTGCACCCATTTGTCGCTGAGGCCAAAACTTCGCGCCTTGGACAATAAAGTGGGGTAAAGCTCCGCCTCGAGAATACGCATGAGAGGCATGGACCGCTTCACGCCGTTGATAACCAAGGAAGGACCTCCAGACATCCCACTCACAATCACGTCCAAAACCTCGGATATTGCATGGATTGGTATTCCTCGCACGAACTGGTGGTCTTCAGGAGAGCTATCTCCATATTTCACCTGCTTCGAGAAACTACCCCAGAGGGCTTGAACTCGGCCAGCCTCATCGGCCAAGACCCCAGAAAAGTTGTGACCGAAGTCGGTGTCTAGCTCAATAACCTCCATGTTCAGCGCACGGTACCTGGGGCAATCGGCTGCTGCCACATTGAGAGCTTCTCCAGGGTTGGTCACTGTGGACTTCCGTGATGTTGCTTGCAAGCTCCTCGATAGCCCAACAAGGTAAACAAAATCTCCTCTTCGCAATGGAGGATCTGGTAAGAGGACAGCTGCCTGCACCGCAGCCATTCCCACTTCACCCAAAGCTCTGGGATTATACGCCACTAACGAATAATTGTGTACGGGATGCAAGAAGACCACTTCGCCAGGGATATCCATAGGGAAGGCGGCGAAGTTCAACATGACATCTGAGACTGAGATGGCCACCGTGTTCTTGTCCACTGCCACCAGCCCGAGGTCTTTCGAGTGGTACACAATAACTCCAGTGCCGAAAGAATGTTGCGCATGAACACCGTCCAGCATGGCTGAGGGCGGGATGTGAACCTCCATCATGACCAGAGTGGGCTCAATGACGTGCTCTGCAATGGATGAGCTAGTTTCTGGAGCGATGCCACTCCCATGCCTAGATGTGGCGTCCAATTTACCCTTGATGGTGGGAACAGGGAGATCAATAGGGAGCTCTGAGTCGACTTTTTGACGCCTTGTAACAGCTTCTACCTGCAGCTCATAAATAACGACAGTTTCGCCATTATCTCCTTCCTTGACGACTCCGTTACCCACATGGACAGCGACACCGTCTGCCTCCATATGGTTGGCTTTGAGAGCTACCGAAGGGACCTCGGGGCTGGGGGCTGCAGGACGAATATCCCACAATCCAGTGGCGTCATTTCGGGTGTAAATCCGAGGGGGTGCATACCACTCATGGCGGTCAATTGTGACTATAACCGACTTGCTTCGATGTCTGTCGGCATGGCTCACAAACTCCAGCGGAACACGCGCCCCTTTCGAGAGTTTAAAGAAAACTGAGATAAAGCTGTCAAGATTGACAATTTCCTCTCCTGCCATCTTCTTAATTATGGCATGCTTGGGCACCCCTGCGCGAGACAGCATATATCCAGGCTCTGCGACGTACACAATACCGCAGACAAAGTGCAGGTTGCGAGCTTGTTGGTAGGAAAGCGCGTGGATTACTCCACCGCTCACTTCAAGGAACATATTAGGAGTGATGGAGTGCAAATCCTGCACTTCAATCGTCACATTGATAGTTGTTCCTCCTCGCTCCAGCTCCAAGATGACGGACTTACCCACATTATCGTCCAGTAAAGTTTCGTACTTCAAAAACTGGGTTAACACTTCACCACCGGCTCTTACAAGCACATCCCCTGGCTCTAGCTGCTTGTGTGCAGGGCCTCCTGGTACCACTGACTCCACCACAAGCATACCAGTTTCGGAGGGAGGTGAAGCCTTCCGAACCATCTGCTCTGTGTCCCTCTTCAAGCCAAGTCGACGAATTTCGTCGAATCCTTTGTGAGAAAAAGTCAACTGAAAAGTTCCGCGGGGAATTGCAGCGGGTGTCCATCCCTTGAGAGATTTATCTTTCTGCGCTTGCAACAGATGAAGAGCCCGCACTACTCGTTCCAGAGGAAGAAAAAAAGCAGAGGCAGAAGCAGATTTGCTTCCTGCGTTAAGCGCAACTGCCCGACCATGGATGTCAATAACAGGGGAGCCGCTGGAACCACCCTTGGTTCCTGAGGCGGCCTGCATATAGAATGTGTTGAAATCGTTATATCCATCCTTCTTGTAGTGTGGCGCGTCGCGGTCAAGTCGTGCAAGTGTCCCCGCGAGTATTGACACCTTCTCCCCGCTGTCATTACCTACGACACGGATCTCAAGCCCCACCTGGGCCGCATCTGGTGCAAGAGGAATTTCCTCGTAATCTAAAAACTGAACCAAGCTTGGGTCAAACCAGAGGAAACCAAAATCGTGAACTGGGTCTCGGTAAAGAGGATACACTGAAATTTCCTCTCGGTTCACGAACATGGCTTCAGCCACTATGGGTCCAGGCTTAACAACATGGCGATTTGTGAGAAGTATTCCCCGCTTCTTGTCAACTACAAAGCCGGTGGAATAGCTGGCCCCCGCCACTTCTGTGTCAAACGCGCGTGTAGCGGTAGTGCGGAGCACGACCACTGCAGGTACTACCTTGTTGAGCGCCTTGCGCCAATCCTCAGCGCTACCAGCGCTATCGAACACTGGTGGCTCAAGTTCCATGGTGAGGCCAATCTTCAGGGCCTCCGCGCTTTCCGACTTCATAGTTGGTAATCGATTCATCTTGTCTGCTTTCATTCCCCAGTGAATGCGATCAAATGCCCATGTGCCCCTCGAGACACCCTTCTTGCTGTGAGCTGAAGTTTTTTCTCTGCACAAAACTACAAAACTTCTGTGTCAGCGATGTGCTTTTGATCAAACAGTTCCCGTGACCTTCCACCAGTCATCAATACACCCAAGCCAGTGCAGAATCAAGGAGAAAATTTCGAAACCACTGATGTATCAACGTATTGATCATAAAAAGCACTGTTGTGAACAGGCAGTACAAGCCAGATCAAAAAGGGCAAAACACAAAAAACCTAAATTGATTTTAAAGAACAGGTATCACACAGATGCTCAGATTTTCCACTTTCAGATTCGACTCTTGATGTAAAATAATTGAAAGGTTACATACGTGGTCGCATTCACCAATTTGACTTGTCTCACAGATAACACTCTGGCGTGTAGATTGTATATGTGTTTACATTGCTGAGCACGTAACTTCTCCGCATTGTTATAGCTATAGATTCAACCACCAGCTACAAAGACGTCAGGGACTCGTTTGATGAGACCCACATTTGACTAAGATTTAGAACACGTGCTCTGAAATTCGATTGTTTAATTTCCAACTCTTTCTAGATTGTGTCAAACTCTGTCAAAATAACAATATGAATTTTCGAGTATGTGCATATGAAGAGAAAGATTATGAATAGTTCATTTCTTTACCCTTCATGATGAGGCACGTTGTCGATGATAAATTAACTAGATGCAATTTAATCGAAGTAAACCCTAATCGACTATAACTACTCGCCGAATTATACCTCCGGAAGCTGAGAGACTGCAGCCTGAAGTCCACACAAACTGAGAGACTCAAACATGGAGTCCACGGAATCGATTAGCTGCGAATTGCAGTACCCAAGTCGCATGCGTAACTTAGCGTTTCATGTTACAATATTAATAAGCAACCTGTTGCATACTGAAATCTCCGCTTGAAACAAAAGATTACAGTCGTGTCATTGGCCATGTGATCGCGTCAGATGGACAGCACACAACTACATCATGATAATAACACAGCTGACCGATGCCCTCCAATAAACAGATCTCAGACAAAACCTCAGGCAAATTTTACGTACACACCGCTTGAAATCACCCCTTCACCTGTTGAGATCCAAATCCAAACCAAGAGTACAAAAGCAGACATAACAAAGCAAGGATAAATGCTCAGGCTACCACAAAATCAGCTAGATTACCCGCTTGACGATCCTCTCCGATCCTGTGAACACTGTTACTAATGGTTCGCCTAATATAACATCTACACCTGAAAACAGCAACTCATCCACCTATTACACAATATCGAATTGAAAAGATTTTTCTGCAGATTGGCATTTAATTACCCGAATGAAGTGAAGTAAGTGAGAAATATAATGTATTTAAACTTCGAAACCCTTCACTTCACACGGCTAGATACTAGGTCGAACAAGAGAACTCAGGAGGAGACCCAACTCCATTAACAATCTTTAACCCCTAATCACTACATATTTTCAAGCTGGACTCACAAATCACGGAGTCTTTAATCATCAGCACTCGGTAGTTGAGGAATAAATTTCTCTCGTTTACGAAAAGAATATACTCTACGCGGCAGCTGCTACTATACACTCAGGTGCCTTCGCTGACATCTTATACGCTTACCCGTGTAGGTCGGTAGACAAGGGATTGCTATTTATTCAGTATTGAGTTCTGAACCTAAAATTTCGACACAAACCCTGCAGTATTGAAGAAATGGGTAACCGCCACTGCTGTGACTGCTGCTGATGTAAACTAATTTCGGATCAGTGGCATGATGCGGGAAGAGGAACTGGGGTGAAGATTTAAGTCACAGGAATCCTGCCGGAAACTGTAGATCTAGACCGCACTGAAGTGCAATCAGCAAGTACGCGACAATTAAAACCCAACGAATCCGCACGAATGACCAGGGCAATAACTCCAACCTCCACGACGCGGTAGACAAAGCAGATGAAGTAGGAGTTAGCTTGGCGGAGTCACTTAAAATATGAAATTTGTAAAAATTTGGTACAAGCACACAAACATTTACCGAAGATTAAGCGTGACACTCACATTAACTATGGAGGGAGCAGAATCTACGCGGCATCTCGGTTTTCATCGCTTCTCTGGACTGTACAGGGGAGGAGGGTAGAACCGACAGCGAACGTTTTGCAACTACTTCCCGCACTAGCATATCGACTCTTTCGACCGACATAAAATTGAACATTTCGGAACTAAGGCGCGTCAGGAATCCCGCTCCGCATCGACGGTATCTCAGAATCAGCAGCCTCGAGAAGTCCACGGTACTATTCAAACCAATTGAACTCAAATGACAACACCCTCGCACCAAATTTAATGAGCAAAATTGCGGATATTGAGCCCTGCTTCCAAGGAATAACCCTGGAACAACTAATCTCACCTGCTGCTTGACAATGCTCGTGAAATTCTTCATTTCTCGAGGATACGTCTCATGTTGATGAACACTCCCGCTTCGTAATTGCATTCTGAATCGCAACCGAAGCAAGCTTTTACTCACCCTCGTCACACACCCAAGAAATGAGCTTCTTCTAAGCCCGATCCGGATTAGGCCGGCAGCTATTCTACCCGTAAACTCAGTCAAAATAAATATACAAATCGAGAAGGATATGGGTCCCGATTATTGACTACCACTAGCAACTACTTTTATGGACGTACAGCACAAACAAATCAACAACCATAGCCTGCAAAAATTCAACGACAAAACCAACCTTCACTCCACCCTGACCCTTCATGTGTGACAATCAATGCACGATAACCAACCTTGAAGGTATTATGGCCACCTGACAATTTGCAACGTACGTTCATACAAAAACAATCACTTAATCCTAATCCTAACTAAACCTTAATTCGGAAACTGGTAAAGGTAACAGCCGCAAGGATTCCAATGGCCTGTGGATGAAAATTCTCACAGATCTGCAGAATATCAAGCGACTCTCGTTAAGTTTGGAAATATTTGAATCAGGTGAGCCTTCTATTTCCTTTTGGGGAAGCAAATAGTCAGAATATTGCAGACAAATCGGTCCTCGAAAGGGAAACAATCGAATCTCAAGCCGACTGTGTTAGGGCACCTCACAAGCCTCTCCACATCGTCATTACGCGCAACAAAAGTGAAACAAGTCAAGATTATGTTTCTTGATTGCCTCAACTTGACCATCAACAAGCTGCTGCTATTGCTGGTGGCATCGGTGCACAGAGAATGAACCTGCCCAAGTGTGAACAGTTTCATGTCTTATCTTCTGAAAGACCTATGCTGTAGCGGGTACAATGGAAAAATATCATAATAGCTGTGTCTAATTCGGGAAGTCTAAGCTGGCAAAGTTGGATGGTAATCTGAATGTAAAGCTCTCATTTGGACAATAGTAATTAAATGCTACAAGATGAAAGGTTGCTCGCCGACCATGGCAAATTCGTAACTCCGAACGGCGGGGCCGAGGTCGGCCATGGATTTATCAATTGTGCAGTTCTTCACTTTGAGGGAGTTAGGCTCGCCGTTTGGGTTTTTTGGGAACTCCTTGCAAAGCTCTGTGCGGCCGTTGACAGTGTTGTGGTAGTGGTAGGAGCGGAGGACGTCGGGGTCCATGTCTATCCTTTTCCCTTGCTTCATGTGCTCCGAGTAGTGGACCCCTGTGGCCCACACCATTTGCGGTTGCACTGCATATTTCCGTGACTCCACTGTTGTCCATCCGTAGTCGCACTTGGCGTATACTAGCTTCTCAAATGCCCATTTTCTGTCACACCGCAATCATCCCCACCACTATTTTATTCTTGTGAGGTACATGATACTGAAAATCTGTCACAGACCAGGAGAATTATAAAATCACTGCCAACTAAAGAGAAGGGACGCATTGTTTTCATGATTCCAGGCTTGTTAATTAATTCTTCCCAAAGTAGTGCCTTGACTCCATAGCAAACACCGTGGCTGAAAAATACACAAGTTTAGCAACTTGGATATCCGACATGAAGTTAGGGGAGAACGTGGACTAGGAACCCAATGATTCTTCCAGGATTTGCGAGGATTCAAGGAGGTTTGGGGACTTCACAGGCGATGATCCTCACTAGGTTACGCAACCAGGAAATTTGAAGATTACGATTTCTTGCAACACACAATTAGCTTAGTTGCTATAAGATTTTATCAAGTCCCTCCAAACCCTGAATCTTCGCCTAGTTCCAAGCTAACAAATCTTATCATCACGACCATCACGTCTAGAATTGCTAGGATTCGCCAACCATAGCCTTCATTCTCAAGCACAAGTCGACCAGTTGTCTAGGCTTGAAGGATCGGAATAAATCACTTCGAATGCTGTTTCTTCTCGAGCACAGATGTGATTTCTTAATACGTACACGATGAACGTAGTTCGACTGGAACAATAGCTCCAAGATGAAACAATATATCAAAAGAAAAAAGAAAAAAAAAAAGTTCAAGAAAAGCAGCAATTCCTCTTGTCTGGCTTACTGACCTCGAAATTTTGGCCATGAAGTGGCTATCAGACTCTCTTTTGTTCTCCTTCAGGCAGAGACCGTCCGACATTTTGACTGTCTTAAACAGAAACTGCGTGACGTTGTTGCGAGCATTCTCAGCAAGTAGGTCAACTGGTTTCTTATCTCCAGAACTGAAGAGAAATTCATCAACGTCGAAGAAGAAGGTCCAATTTGAGAGCGTTTGTGAGCGTAGCAGGCAGTCATTCAACATGGTGAATTGGTGATGGTAATAGCCCTCATAAACCTCTGCCTGCCGCAGATTCTCCACTAACACTTGACCAAGGTCAATCCATGGCTTCAGCACCCGGTACACATCATCGTGGATGCCACCGGCGTCTTGGAAGATGAAGAGAGTGCGATTGCCCAAGAAGTAGGCATGGTACGCTATCCACTCCCGAATTCGCTGGGGACTGATGTTACCGTAAAGGGGCGAGCCGCAGAAGGTCATGTCATAGGGGTATGGAGGTTGGAAGCGACTCGCATTGTACTCGCCCTGCATTTCTGTCAAGGCGATGAATCTCTCAGGAGTCCGGAAGGCACCTGGGTAGTGTGCGGTCAAAATCAAGCGCCCTCCCTCAGATTTTGTGCCGACATCTTTTGGAAATGTGCACACAATCACCATTGTTCCATATAATTCTCCCATGTTCCAGTCAGGCTTAATTGCTCTCGCTTTCACCTTCAGGGTAGGGCTGTCTGCGGTCGCCCACTCGCACTCGTAGAGAATATCATGGAGGTTGTTTAGGCGCTTACTTGTCAGCACTACGGATGAAAATGTGCGCGGGCCGTTTCTGTAGGAGCCCACTTCCACAATCAAGCGTGTTGCAATACCGTGCGCACGAAAGCTGCGAACCTCCCCACGCGAGAGATCGATTGAGGACATGTCGAGATTTTCGTCCATGGCGATGGTAATGTTTGCACACGGCATTGGTTGAGCTTCCGTTGGCCACCATGCTCTTTCGTACAAGCTACCACTGGAAGAGATTTGAAAAACCAAGAGAAGGCAGTTGATCACAACTAGCACCACCACCGCATTGAAGCCCAACCCCGATGTTGGAATGTTTTCTACAAGGCTCTTCTGGGATTTCATGTTGATATGTTAGAATGCTGCCAAACGCTTGAGTATTTTAAATTGCTATCCCTCACATGCCTCGAGTTTGAGTTGATGAATTGAGAGATCTTCAGTTTCTCGAAACTTGGATTGCCTGAGCATCTCAACAACAAAAGAATCCTTCGTTCTTGTACAAATGCCGCATGACATAAAATGTAAATGCTCGACCAAAAAATATGTGCAATACTTCGGTGATCGGAGCTTTCGCCTCTTCAAATGGTGCCAGGAATATCCGCAAGCTATTACTCATCCAGAACTATCAACCCCTTGACTATAATCATTTATCTCTTAGAGTTTGAATTCACCCATACACCAACCTGACAAAGAAGCTGGTTGCTCCATTGCGTGCCATATGCAACTGCATTGTTGGACTCACAGTTTCCGATTCACTAATTTCGAAGTATCTGCGGCATAATACAGGACAAACCAATTGTCAGAAGATACTTAATGTGCAGCTGTCTGCCTGCTTCCCTACCTACCTGCCAGGGCCATCGATGAATTATAGACCTGATTTCTAGGTCACTAATCAATCTGTACTGCAAGCAATTTTCAGAGCGAGGCCTGAAAACTCGAGTCATAGACACAAATGTACTGTGTAACTCTCAACGCCAATATATTCCGGGTGGTGACTTGTCCAATTTTTTTTGCTCTGGAAAAGCTTGGAATCTAGGGGGGACAAAATTCGGCATCGTAACACTGGCATTGGAAAGTTGGGCAGTCGAAGTACTACTCCATTTCAGCAATCTAAAAGCTTTCTTGTCTAAGTCAGCTGCTCATTTTACCTCTCGGATGTATCGTCCATTCAGCTTTAGAAAATCACTCGCCTGGCTCCATAGAGCAAGAAAATCTCGTCATTCCTCTCAACTATGTGACACCTAAAAAGCAACCTTTGCCGTCTGAAAATGATCTGCGGTTGACCAAAACTTGAGTTCATCACTCTCTTGCCACTTCCCTTCAAAAAGAAGAGGATTGGTCCTACCTCAGCTATGCACCACTCCCGAACAATGTGATATCGAACAAGATGGACTTTTCAGCACATATTCCTGTTTCAGTAAACCAGGGAACAGTATTCAAGTAACATCGAGAAGAGATGGGAACGAGCTTCAGGGTTGAACCTATTCAAAGTGTACCAAAAAAAATTAAAAATCAAACACTAAAAAGCCTTCGGAGAGTGAGGTGGTACCTCGAACCAGTGATCGAAGCGCAGAACGGGAATTGGCCTGGCAATTGCAACGCGCATTCGAGCTTGCAGTGACAATCGGAGCGCAGACGCCAGGCTCGTTCTCAAAAACCCCAACCTCAAACTATACCAGTCTCAATGCTAAGCCCCCACAGCCTGAAAAGAGACTCCGAACTCTGCAAACGGGCTCCAAGAGTTTCTCAACTCTCGCACGCACGCACGCGCGTGCAGACACACACACATCCACCCGAGAGCGTGCAATTCCTGCTACCTACAGTTGCATGCCATCGTACGTGGCTCCACCTCTAGGTCTGGTCCATTATTGTAGCGCATCCATCACATTCACACACACTCACACACTCAAACCTCCCTGAAGTGCTCAACAAGACAGCAGCAACGAAACGGGAGACTTCAGGGCGAGCATGGCAGCAGCAAAAGCAACAGCAACAGGAAGTGTGAGATTGTATGCATATGGCCGACCGAGGCTTCAGCCCCTCAAGAGTACTTTAAGTACAGCTCATGAACCCACCATGCAACCAACCCCACAAGAGAGCGACACACAGAAAGACACACGGAGGAGATACACAAAGACGAAGACCATGCCAAGGGGGCCACCTCTCCCGCCATCCCCCCTCTCATTTCAGGCCTCCCATCCTCTCTCGGCAAAGTCACTCTTCTCCCTTGATTTTCCTGAAGTCCACTTATTCATAATGTAATGCTAATAGGGGAGTAATGAGAGCCCTATTGCAGGATTTGAAGTTTCCTGAGTAGCAGTTCAGAACCCAAAAAGTCACATTCTAACTTTGAGACTTAATCCTTGAAGCTAGGTCATGGTCATTATGATTTGAAGTCTCTGATGTGGTTGTCAATATTGTTATGAAGTGGTTTGAGTTTTCGAAATTAAAAATAGATGTTGAGATGCATTGTATTTCAGATGTATGAATTGGTGTAACTACCATCCCCACTTCATATGCATTAATGTATGTGTGTGTGTGTGTGTGTGTGTGTGTACGAATGAAAAGAAAAATAGTATTTATTAGATTTTTAGATTTGCCTTCCACCATAAATTGTAAGCAACACGTCCGTGGTTTTAAACGTGCCACAACATTATTCAGAAAAAAATAGAATTATGAATTAGTATTAGACAATACAAACAAAAGTAGAATAAGTCCTGGAATGGAAATCTTGTGGCCCCTGTTGGCCCATCGCACAAGCTACTCTCGAACACCTTGCTTCCCCCTCCCTCGTCCACCCTTGCATCAAAACAAACAACAGCATGTTCATGAAGTTTCATTTGTGGCGTTTGGACGAGTAAGCTGAGTTTTGATCCTCCTGTAAATGCATTAATGCGATCAAGGCTGAGAGCTTATGACCTTGTTGCTTTGTTTCAGAATGGAGTTGACAGTTCTAGCTGTCTTTGAAGACATACAGTCACATGGCTTTGAAGCGCGTGTCCCTAACGCAAAGCTCATTAGATAATGTGAAACGGTTTGTTGATCTCATCCTTCGTTAAAAACGCAGCTTTCGTCCATTGCAGTTGGGTCATCCACACTGTGTTGTGGTGCAGAGGTAAGGACAGGGAACATGCCGCGAGTCGATAACAGGGGAAACAACGCCGACTTAAGGAGGTGCTGAGAACTTGCCGCTTCTACAAATGGGGCAGAAACAATAAAACAAAACAAAAGGACCAGATCCTGGTATCCCTGACCCAAAGGTTCGGTCACCGTTGAGGCCACATCACTCGATGAAGCTAAGCCTCGGTGTTGATGCGCCTCCCGAACCCCTTCCCTGGTGGCCATGGCGTGGTAGCCTGTGAGACGCACGTGAGAACCTGCCACGGCAAAGCATGACGTGAACAGAGGAGATTGTTCGCTTCGAGAAGCACAGCTCATTAGGGGGGTCAAGATCCAAAACCATTGACAAGGGCATGACAGACAGAATGAGGAACCATGCCCGGCCTTCACCTGCTAAAGCCTCGACATGCAGGGAGGTGCCATTCGACTGTGGATCCCACATTATACAGCAGCTGGAATGGCACAAGCAGATGCCCTGCTTGATGGCCAGTCTCTTATTACTATGCCTTTCCTACTTTCACTCTGAATCGGGAGCATTTAGGAGGTGCTGTTGACCAGACTAATAATAAATTTGTGAACAGTAAAGAGCATGGCAAGGGAAGTGAGCCGTCTGGATTTCGTCACTTTGGAATGTTCGGTGGCTTCGCGTCAACCTTTATGGCTGGAGATCGAAAACAATACTTGCAAGTTTGTTCCATCACCAAACCGATGGTGCTGGTCGAAGAAAAGTGTGATGCGAAATCCAAGTATCAGTGTGTACACACACAATCACACACTCACACAAACAACAACCATATAAACAATCGACTTCACGTTCGCGATGGGAAACCTCGTACAATTCAGCGCGACGCGCGTTCTGAAATCTTAGCCAACAAGTTGGATGTATCTTTAGCAACGCCACGCAAATGAGAGCCCCACGGTGGCTCTTGAAACTCAGCTTTGATCGACGATACGATTCTTCCGACACGGCCAACGAGCTCTTCCACGCCGACTGTGGTCCTGAGGTGATTTGACGGGAAATCTCCCAAGTACAACTACCTAGCTTTTCCACCGTAAGTTACGTCCCTCGAGGACGAACTTGACATTGTAGAGCACAGCTCATTCAATGCTGCAGTAGAGGGATGGATCATTGAATCTCAGAGGACACCCCGCAGATGAGTTCGCGATCTAAACAGGACCGGAACCAAAACTCATCCGTCAGGTAGATTGCACCACCCTGCGTGGCTATCAATAATGCACCACGGATTCAATCGCAGCTTACTGGATCCAATCCAGGTGCCATACACCCACGCACTTCGTCGACGATGACGACGAAGACGAATATTCACAACATCGATACCAGTCATGAAAAAACACAAATAAATAAAATATAATAAAATAACAGTCTTTCAAGTCCAGATTGATGCACTGAAACCAGCACCCCTTCGCTGCCTCTGTCTCTGACCCTGTCTTTGACTCTTCCTCCTCCCAATAATGTGGGAGACTCTGACCCTGATTTTGCAACGTCCACAGCAATTTATTCGCCGCAGGGAGGGAGGGACATTTGCTCTTTGTATTTTATGTATTAATCACCGGTCGAGAGTTGTCTGCTTTCTACCTACTCGTCACCTCCTTTGTTGGGGTCTCTTCTGCAACAAATATTTTTTAAATGAGAAATTAGGTCGAACAAAAAAGCAAAAACAAAAACAAAAACAAAGCATGTGTTTGTTTCTGAGTGAATATATATATATATATATATATATCGAAATATACTCTGGTGGAACCTTGTGTTGTTGAACTGTAATGACAATAATAGAATGCGTGGCATTTTCATGGGAAAAGATCTCCTAACTGGTACGTATTTGTGTTGAATACCAGTTGGTGCATTGACTTTGATGTTCTTAATTTGGGAGAAAGGTTTTTGACGAACATTTTCACAAAAAAAATCTTTCTACGTATACAAAATTCCACACAAAAAGCATGAGATGTCGAATTCAACTCCACTAACATTTCACTTGACAAGTATGCACTTGGTTGGTTTTTGGGATAATTTAGTTTTTCTTTTTATTTATTGATGGATAAAGACAAATTATGAGAAAATTTCACAGTTGATTCAAATCATTGTCATGTTTGTTATAAAAAATTATATTTTTTCATCCTAGAAATAATTCTGATGTGACAATATTAGTATTGTGGCAAAGTTTATATATATATATATTTATGTATTAAGACTTAAATATAACAAATTTGGCATAGATAGAAATTTATTTATACTAATTGATTATATTTTAAATATTCAACTTTGTATAAAATCTAAAACATACTTGAGAGATGAATGTAACTTAGTAACTAAAAAAACTGCATACAATAAAAAAATATAACTATAATATTATTAAATTATATCAACAAATCATAAAACTATGATTTTTAGTACATGATAAGTTGTCAAATTATATAATGTGAGAATCAAATTATGCTTTGAGTAAAAATATTCAAAGATATATATATATATATATTTTTTTTTTTAATTTTTAAAATGATCTAAATATTTACTAAAATGACCCACCCACCCTAACCATTTAATTCTGGTCAAAAACCAATCAAAAAATGATTGGATCCTCAACCAATGATGATGGATGGATTGATTTAATAAATGTTTGGGCCACTTCAACAATTTCCTATATATATGCCAAAGTTGCCAAAATTGGCATCATTTCTACAATGGCAGATGAAAAGATTGAGGTGTCAAGATATTCTTGTATTGATCTAAAAAAAAACAAACATAATAGACTAATGTATGTAAAGAAATAAAGCTTGTGATGGTGTTACTATATATATATATATATATATATTTCCATTGAATTTTCAAGGATTATTTAGGTTCAGTCATCAAAATAATGTTTAAAATCAAATTAATTATATTTTTATTTTATTTTATTTTTTGTGCATGGAAATTTTTCATTTAATTAATTGAAGTGTTTGGCGAAAATATTTTAGTGCTGAATTATTATTCACAATTTATAAATAATATATGTATATATGTTTCTATGTATATGTGTACACTCAATAATACTTCATTTATTTTAAACAAATTAAGCTTATTTTTTAATATTACATGTTTGTACAAGTTTGTGTAAGATCTATTTAAATACACAATTTATATATATAATTTGTACAAGTTATATACTTATAAATCATTTTTTTTTCATTTCTTATAATTTATTTTAAATCTTCCAACCATATAGTAATCATTATAGTTTTTAGAATAATTGTCTCTACCAGAAAGATACAAATATACAAAATATCATGGATATAGATGGTGAAGTCCTTTGCCATTTTGAAAAGTTGCACAACCATCATGTCTATTTTTCTTAGGTTGCACAAAGTAGAAAAAGAGTTGAAAATTTTTATTTTAACAAAGTTTTTGTCAATAATGACATTAGCCTCCAAACCACCATACAGTAAGTTTTGTCTACATTCATATTATATATTGAGATAGTCATGATGAATAGAAATGAATTTATTATTGTTGTAATTGCTACCTCAATTAAAATGAATACATTTTTTCTTTTTAGTCCTTTGAGTCTAAATATAATTCTTGATGTTTTTAATAGTAATAAAAATTAACAAGCATCCAGTATTTTCTAATTGATCAGAAGCAATTGGAACAAATCCAATATCTTGTTTTGATTTTCATTACTTCTAATAAATTCTTTTATATTTGATATCATGGTTGCAAAGAGGTGGATTTTTAATCTTAAACAAGTTTTTGCAACAAAATCAACTTGTTAACTAATGAATACTTTCATTGTTCTTTGAATTGAGTATTTTAAATTGAATAAGAAAACTAAAAAGTTATATATAAGTTTTTGTGGACAGTTCAGCAATAATTTGTAAAAGTATTTGAAAATTTTAATTATTACCAGTATACTTGGTATATTATGGAATGTCTGTTATTGAAAATTTAGAAAAGATCATTGATAATAATTGTAAAATTTTGGTAAAACAAATATCACAAGAAAAAAAAAAAAAAAAAAAAAAAAAAAAATCCAACAAAAAGTGGGTAGTATTATGAATCATTTTAATTTTAGTTATTATTTAATATATATTTAAAACAAATCCTACGCTGAATAATAATTTTTTTTTTTAAATTCTTGATTGTAAAACTATATCATTTAATATATACATATTTAAAAATAGTGCTCTGAAATACCACAAAATGCAGTAGTAGTATAAAACAAAATTAGTAAAGTCAATGCAATACAAATGAGAATCATTTTTCAATTAACCAGCCAATGTGAAATTTAGTGCACTATTATAATAAACAAAATATAATCAGAAAATCAGAAAAAATAATGTAATACAAAGTAAATAATGCAATCATAGGACTATTGAAACAAATTTCATTTCAAAGGTAGTAATTTGGGATCAGGTTTAGGGTTGCAAAGGAACCTGGTCGCTGTAGAAGTGTGATGTGTGGTTGTGCATCTTTGTTATTACAGGATTTGTGTAGTGTGTTTGAAAGCATGTATGTGTTTTGTTGTTCTCACTCACACAACATGGCTCCATAAAGCAAGTACACTATACTTGTTTTAGCAATAGTGGAGATGGCAAATCTTGAGGCTGAGCTTTAGCTAGGGCTTGCACTGCTTGGGCAAATTGATGAGAAGATTTACAAACAAGAACTAAAGCTTGCTGAGTTGCAACATGGCAAAGGCCTATTTGATTGAGCTGTAAGTGCATTGACCACAAACATTTGTAAAGCTAATGAGAATATCATTCTTGAGATTTACCTAGATAAGAGTGAATAGAGCAACAACTAAAGTGACTTTACTACAGTTGAAGAGAGGAATTCCAAGCTCATCTAAGGGAGCTCAAAGTGGTTGCTCTTACTACTGCAAACATTTTAAACAAGATGAAAGCTATTGAACAACAAAAATTTGAAAGATTAAGGGGTCAATGCAAGTGATTCCTTGATGAAGCAACCAAATTATACCATGGAGTAGCCTCTTTTGTAGTTGAAAGTTCTATGGTGTATTTTGTTTCTTTGTTTTCTGTAAAAATTGTGAAAAATATTTTTATGCTCACAAACATGTCTTTGAAACAATGCTACTTTGGGGTCAGGCTTTCCGTAACAACAGCACAAGGTCAACTAATTTTAAACATTCTACATGCCATACTATGATGTAAAAACCATGAACAATTGATTTTTCACTAATTTTCACTTAAATTAATGTGACAAACTACATATTTCATTTACGTTGAGGAATTTAGGAGTCTTGTAATCACATTCAGTATTCTATTCATCAAAAGATTAAATATAGAAGATATTTCCTTAGTATTTGGGTCTTACATTAATAGCCAAAGTTATAAGTTGAGGTTTCAAAAACTATCTGAAGTATAACTCATAAGCCAATGCTGGATTTGGAATTTGTTTAAATGCTTGGCTTTTTAGTAGCTACCTTGAACATTTCAAACTGGTCTGAAAGTGAAAATATCTCCCCACGTCATCATGGCACCACTACAAATGCAATGGACCCGGACATTGTGAAACTCACCTTTGGCAACTTTAAATTAATGACCACTAATTTCATCACTAGTTGGGACAATTTGACTTCAAGAACAATAAAAATCCTTTCAGACATAATGGCCTGAGAGTGAAAGAACAGATTGAGCTTCAGGTTTCGGACCCGGTGCATTTCGCACAAGACTGTCCCTGATAGGAATTAACCTGGCAAAGACGTAGTAAACCCATCGTTGAACTCTTGCATGAGTACTTCAGAGGGATTTACATGAAGTTATAACACCCCTAAAACAATCCAAGTCAAGCTAGGATGCAAACTACTAGATCAACACAGCCAGTATAAATGCTTCACGTGAAATAGAGAAGGGGGATCTAGGAAAAAGGCGAAAAGCATTTACTAAGAACAAGGTTCTGTTCGTCACGCGACTCTGTTGGCTCATGTGCATAATCGTTCACTACCAAAGGTTCAATTCACTGTCGAGATGAGTGATTAAGGCTGATAAGATGCCTTCACGTAGCTTCTTATAAATTAGAGCACGGAAGGCTCATATGCTCAGAACATCTACATCACTACCATGAATCACTTACAAACGAATACCCACATTCTACATCACAAACCGCTCGCTGAGGGATGAATAATATTTAAGCCCTCTAAAACTTGCCAAAGGAAATTCAGAAACTGAGATCATTCCTACATTTTCTCAGGTCTCAGAAAGAAAAGTAAAGAAATAAAAAAAATAAGAGAAAAACAAATAAGGCAGCAACAAATCAAGGTTGAGCTTGGGTGGGTTTAGCCAGCAGTCCCAAAAGGAAGCAATCCCTTGTTACTGGTTGGCAATTTCCAACTCAAATTGCTCATCTTCGAAGCAATCTTTGTCCTCTAATATTGGCTCTCTTGACTCTTGCATTTACTTCTTGAATATCATCATGAAGATGCTCAATGCCAGGGGCTTGCCTGTGATGAGTTGCATAGATAAATTAATAAACAGTAACCCGAAAATCGTAAGTGAGTGATCACCAAAGAGTGAAATAGATTGAAAGGAGGTAGGGAGAGTACCTTTCAATCTCTGTGTTCATATCCATTGACATTTCCTTCATTTGTGAAAGTACATTACTTAAGTCATCAAGCATGTCATCCTGGGTTTCCCTTTCAGCCTGTACCAAACACAAGATATAATCCATCAGAAAACTGGTCCAAGGCCAAAGGAACCAAATGAAACCAAACTGAAACAGAATCAACAGGGTATCGATAATTGCGAATACAAAAAATGAGACTCCGCAAAGTCTATTCATGAAGATGACACATCTATCCAGAATGATTGAAACAAAAACTTACAGCGATTTGTCCCTGAAATGTCTCTCTATCATGCTGAGATCCAGATCCGGATGTCTTCTTCGCTTGACTACCATTTAATCCCAAGGCTTCACGATCCTCGGCGCTCTCTTTATTATTATTATTATTGTTAGCTGCAAAACATGTCGAAACACTTTCCAACATTACCACCCAGACAAGAAGATACTCAGGATGGGTGACAAGCATCAGGCAAACAGAAACATTCAATAAAATCTACAGTTGACTCCAAATGCCATGGAAACGATCTTTATAACACCAAGTTAGTGATTGTGAAATGATCTGAGAATTACCACGGCCAACCATTGGTCCCGTGATCTTCTTTGTCTTCTTGGGTTTCCAAGACTTGGAAAACACTCCTCCAAGACTACCCAGCAGCTTCTCACCCTACACCCATTATCAAGAAACAACCCAAAAATCAGCCGTGCTACCTGGCACCACAACTGAAATTTTCGAAACTGACCTACAAAATTCGTTCCATCACATACTGATGAATTCTATGATCTCTACATCTAGCGAATTGACAGCCATGTGCAGTTGAGATGTAAGCAAGCTATATGCAAGAATTTCACGTGAAACAAAAACATACCCTGCTCAAATGCTGGTCAATATGAACAGCCTTCTCGTGGGTACGCTCAATTTGAACACCCTGCTCATGCAAGCTAATGAGGGTCTGCGCGCCAATGCCCATGGTATCCTCTGCAACTCGAAGACAGTTTTTCAACGTTGATGTCGTCTCCTGCGACTTCTTTACAGCGTGCTTCTCAAGATCCAACACCGCTTGATTGACAAATTCCTCGCTGTCCTCCCCACCCCCGTTGTTGTATCCAGGCTTGGGCTTCGAGGAACTGTAGCTGAAAAGTTCATCCTCATCTGCAGTTTGGGTTTTAATCACGCCCTTCCTCCCAGCACTTCCATCAGGACGAGACTTCGAGTAAGTCTCCTCGTCATCGAAAGGGTTCCTAGGAGCACGTCTTGCCATGATTTACAGGCAGCAAAAATCTAGGAGTTCTCCTTCACAACGACTCCCTTCCCCCAGTAATTCAGTTTCGAGGTTCAAATATCTGCACACGAGTTCCAAACTCAATGAAAAATATGGGGCGCACCAACGCCAACCGCAACCCACCCGTGAAAAGTGATCGCAAAAACGCTAGCTAGCAAGCCCCCAACGAACACCCAGCGGCAATCCTTGAGTGAGATGCCAAACCCACCGAACACGATCTGCAAAAGAATAGGTTCAACTAACAAGGTCTTGACTGGACAAGCATACTCTTCCATGGGGCACCATCCAAACTTCAAATAGACTCAAACTCTTCCATGGGGCACCATCCAAACTTCAAATAGACTCAAACCAGAGTAACCATCCAAGAATGCCGCCCTAACAATCAACGCCCTGGATGTACAGTCAAAACCTGACACACCATGCAGAGCTACCACAACAAACGCCCAAAACCAACATTTCAGGATATGGCTGAGCGGGAAAAAAAAAAAAAAAAAAAAAAAAAAAAAAAACTAGCAAAAAGACGGAAGGAATGCTCCGGAAGCGTATACCGTCGTGGAAGGTGCGTACAAGAAATGTATACAAATGCGATGGGCAGCATGAAGGGAAAAAAAGGGAAGGCAAGCCACCATCTCCGACAAAAAAACGGACCTGGTGCGAAGAGTGAAGAACTCGAGGCGCTGGAATCGAAATCGGAAGGCGAGAAGCCAAAGGGGTTGCAAGGCGGGGAGGGGGTGAGCCACGCGGTTAGGAAGAAGGCTCGATGGGGCCGGTCCTTCACCACGCCCCGGTACTGCGAAGGATCCCCAACAAACTGGGGCAGTCCTCACCTATCTCGCTCTCTCCCCTGCAGGATCGACGCCGAGTGCTGCTGCTCTACAAAATTCACGCGCTCGAGGAATTCGAAAGGGGCTTGGAATGAATGAATGAATCATCATCCTGGCTCCACCTCGGCAGCCCCGCTGCATTCATTCCGTCCCATAATGTGCTCCCTCCCTCTCTCTCTTCCCCAGTCTTTTCCGTTCGTCGTCGGCTGAGTGGAGCCGTTGCCTCGGTCCATTGTGAAGCGTAATATGCCTGTCCCGTTGAGGTGCCCATTGCCGTGCGTGTCACGGAGAAATCTGACAATACGACAACGTGTCGGAACAGTCTTGCGTGCATTTCTTGCTTATTTCTTCTTATATATGTGTGAATATCAATATATATATATATATATATATATTTCTTTTGATATTGTATTTCCATTAGGAAATTTCATATTGATTTCAAAAATTCCTAGATTGTTATTTAGAGATAGTACTGATTGACTATTAGCACGTGAAGTTTTTTTTAGCACATGTTGCAAGGCTAAAAACTATAATATACAACTTTTGTTGTAGTTGAGGAAGTTTAATCTCTTTTTGTATTCAATAATTAATATGGTAACTTGATGTTTTAAAATTTAATAAACAGAAGTAGAATCCTTTTATAAGTCAAAGAGTATGGATATTATTATTTTTAAATGAAGGTAATTACATCAATTTTTTTTATTAAAATATAAAATTTTAATTTTTAAAAATTAGTTTGGCATAAGGCATTTTTAAAATTTTATACTTCTTTTTTTAAGCTAGTTATTAATACTTGTAAAAGTAAGATCTCTTTGATTATGATAATTAAAAGGTTAATACATACAAAGAAGATGCAAAATCATTCCTTTAATTATCTTGTTTTTCAAATTAGAGGAAAAGGAGATTTAGCTTTACAACTCATTTTCTTCCATGTTTCTACCTCAAGAAAGAGTTCATTATTTTTTTTAGGTTGGTTGAGAAGGGAGGTATTTATTCTTATACTATATTCTTTTTCAACCAGGTTTTTCTTCTTCTTATGGTTATAGCACCAATAATGTTTTATGTATGCCAATCTTTATTTCATCTAGGAAGTTTACCACATAGGTTATATACCTTTCAAATTATGATCTTCTTACAATCACGTACTGCCATCAAGACTTCATGACATTAGTTGGTCTCAATCATTGAGTTTAATTTTTCATCTATTTACTCGAAGAGAGTTAAAGGAAGAGTTGCTCTTGCCCTCTCTAAAGCCATAAGTTGTGGTGGTGGGCAATCAACTTCCTTATTACTACTTTCTTTTACTATTGTTTCAATTCAATTTTTTACTATTATTTTTTCTTATTTTTTTAGAATTTTTCTGCCAAGCTTGATGATAGATTATTGGATGGATATTGTAACCTCTTTACAATTACAAAAGAAAAGGTATATATCTCCATTTTTTTTATAATAAGTCACATAAGACTTTATCATCCATTATTGATAGTACAATAATAATACAACTATGATATATATATATATATATATATATATATATATATAAGTATAATTCCATGAAGCTCTTAATTAGACTATATATATATATATATATATATATATATATAAACAAAGATAAGATTTTTATTACTCTTTTTAATTTCTTTCTTATTTCTACTCTACTTTCAAGAATTTCTAATTTTTTAGTGTATGGAAATATTTTATTTAGTTTCTTCTTGAATATACATATTTACTTGGCTTCTTTTTATTATTTCTATTCAAGAAACAAATTATTTGGTTATATTTACTTTTCAATTTTTTATCTTTTATAGGTTGATATGAATATACTTATAATATCAAATGTTTGTCTTTTCTTAAGAAGAGCAAATTATCCCTTTTCTTGACATGAATTAGCCTTGAGTGTGGTTTTATCATAAATGAGAATTGATTATGAACTTCATCATGTAGATTTTTATATAAGAAAATTTTCAACACTCAAAATCAATTACAATATCTATAATAAAAACTTCTTCTAATTGTGAATTTATTTAAAGAATAGTGCCATTATTTACAAGACACTTGTAGTCAAATGATAGTTTATACAAATCTTAAGGATTTCAATTACTTTATGTTAATATGTATTTTGAAACATTGCTAAGTTTATTGGAGCATGTTTTTGTCAAGATTTGTATTCAATATCACTATTGACTGAAAAACAACAAGGTTTGTCATATTTTCTTTTTAGACATTTTTATCTTGTGCCAAGATGAAGAAATAAGGATCACTCTTTTAAATGATCCATATTGTATGATTTGAAAGAGTGATCCTTATTAAATGTCCATAATAATTTTTAGTTGTTTTACAAGACATTGGATAGTATAATTTAGTCATGCCATTTCAATGAAAGTGTCACGGACATACATATAATTACCTATATGAATAGATAAAAGTATGTAAAAGTAGATAAAAGTAGGTTAATTGTGTAATATCTTCTAGAGAAGCTTCTTAGAAGCTCCATAGACGCTGCTTTGACTTTATAGGAGTCTATAGTTGACTTTTAGGCTAGAAACTTGGTCAACAAGTTAGTCATGTGCCACACATGTTGGAAGCTTAAAGAACAAGCTAACTACGTGGTCCATCCATAGAAAACTTGCCTTGCAAGCAAAGGCATGTGGCCTAGAAAGTCAACATATATTGGAGGTCTTATAGAACATCGCCATGTGGCTTCTAGTTAGATAGTATATATAGAGGCAAGAGTGAAGCCCTCTTCACTCTTGTCAACTCCTTTCTTGCTTCTAGTCTAGTTTCAAGGGTCTCTAGTTTTCTTGTATTTTGGCAATAGCCATTCCAGTTTCTTTCTTAATATACATATTTCTATTTTGTCCTATTTCTTTTTTGAGAAAAGTCTCACTTACTCTTTAGCTTTCATCGAGTTCTTGTCCTTGACAGATTGACAAGAGTACACTTACAATATCAGAGCTTTGTCTTTTCTTGATTAAGAGTGGATTACCCCTTTTTCTTGATAAGACATAAGCGCATTAGAAGTTGCGGATTACCCTCTTTTAAACTGATATTGTTCTTAGTATTTTCTTTGTTATCAATTCCTCTCTTCTATTTGTTTTGAGCGTTATTAGACATCTTCTCTTTTCTAAGTGCTACTATGGCAGAGCTTGTTGAAATGAAGAGTACAATGGCACAGATGCAAGAACAATTGAGGGAGTTAATGCTTGCGATGCATCAACTCAATTTACCACCACAAGGAGCAACAAGAATGGTAGGAAGTGAAGATATAGAGATGATTGGGGCTGCTCCAACATCTGCACCAAACCATGTCCCTTCTCCCAGAATGGAACACCCTTCGAGTGTTAGAGAACCGAGAGTTGCCTTGCCCGAGAAGTTTGATGGTACTAGATCCAAGTTTCGAGGATTCATCAATCAGGTCCAACTAGTGATTGAACTTCAACCCCAGAGCTATCCAACTCCAGGGCCACAAGTTAGATTCATTGGTACACTTCTTTCAGGTTCAGCATTGTCATGGTTTTCATCTTTTCTTGAACGACGAGATCCAATATTGGATAATCTGGAGGCTTTTTTGGCGGAGTTTCGATCCATGTTTGGAGAACATGATGCAATTCGTGTTGCAACCAACAAGATCCGTATTTTGCGACAAGGCAATCGATCAGTAACATTATATGCTTCGCAATTTCGACAACTTGCAACTGATATCAAGTGGGATGATGCCGCACTTGTGAGTCAATTTCTCTACGGATTAGAATATGAGGTAAAGAAATTGATGCTTAATTTACCTGATCCTCAAACATTGAATCAAGCAATTGACTTTGCTGTGAAGTGCGACAATCGACTTTTTGAATTTTGATCCGAGAGTCGCACAAGTAGGCCTCAACGTTACTACAATTCAATGGCAACACCGACGTCTCCTCAACACATACCTTCAGAAGTAGAGGATATGCAAATTGATGCGGTACGTTTCAAACCTCTTACTAAGCAAGAAAAGTCTCGTCGTTGACAAGAAGGATTGTGCTTATATTGTGGAGAACCTAAGCACACTGCTCAACATTGTCCAAAGAAGCGACGTAACTACAAAATGAGGAGTACGGCTGTCAAAGAAGACAGTATGTCGGAAAACGAGTACGTCCAGCTACAATAGGGACCGTGCGGCTGGAATCTTGTACAACTTCTAATGAAGGTCCTATCCTCTCCTCAGAACCATCTCCTTGTTTTATAATAGATGTGCGTTTAGGACCTAATAATTACAAAGCCTCTGCCTTGATAGATTCAGGAGCCTCAGCTTGTTTTTTAGATGAAGAATTTGCTAGATGTCATAGAATATCATTAATACAACAAACTAAACCTGTACACGTAGAAGTCATAGATGGTCGTCCGTTGTCTTCTGGAGATGTAACTCACGAAACACTTCCTGTAGATGTAGTAATAAATGGTCATAGTAGTTGCGTAATTTTTAATATAATTAGATCTCCCTCTAATCCAATAATTTTAGACTTATCATGGTTAGAAAAATATAATCCTCGAATAGATTGGATTTCTCGTAAACTTGATTTTCCTCGGAGCATTAGTAACAGTTCTATTAATCAAGTAAAAAACCATGAGTCTAGTATAGTAAAACCCGCACTTATAGGTCCAAAAGCATTTATACACGCAGCAAAAGAAGGATCAACTTTTGCTATTTATGCTGCACCTATTTCTGAAAGCGTAAAGACTTCAAGTGGCATTCCAAGTCAATATCAGAAGTATCAAGACGTTTTTGAGAAAAATAATGCAGATATTCTTCCTGAGCATCGCCCATACGATTGTTCAATCGATCTCAAGGAAGGAACTCAGCCACCATTTGGACCAATTTACAGTTTATCGCAAGATGAGATGGCTGAACTCAAGACATATATTGACGAGAATTTAGCGAAGAATTTCATACGCCATTCAAAATCTCCAGCAGGAGCTCCAATTTTATTCGTAAAGAAAAAAGATGGATCTTTACGAATGTGTGTTGACTATCGAGGACTCAATAAGATCACAATCAAGAACAGGTATCCA